GGTTGCAAATGTGTTTTTCTTTCTTCCAGTCCCTCAGAACTTGTTATAAACTGACATGAATGGTTTTCAGGATTGTGTGAATTTAAGTAAATTGCCATTATTCTCAAGTGTTTGCTACTAAGCTTTAAATACAATGGTAGGAAAAATATATTCTTAATTAAAAGGATTGAAATATTAGCAAACTAGCCTGTGACCAGACCTCCGAAGGCCTTTGAAATCAGCATCCCAGTAAATGCTAGCAACCACCTGCACCCAGTTGAGTGTCAGGTATTTGATAGGTGCATGATATAAATTATCTAGAATCCTCATAGACACACTGCAAGGTCAGTGTTCTTACTGGACAGATACAGAAAACAAAGTTCAGACAGCTCAAGAAACTGAATCAGACTGGAATGACTGCTGATTATCTTTCTAAGTCCCAGACAGAAAGTGGGTCATAGAAGACTGGGGCTCAGCACCGTAGAACAACAGGTGCCAATATCTTATTTTCTCCACAAGGAGACACAACACCTGAAAGTCACAACTTAAAGGAGGAGAGGGTAACTTTGGCTCCTATTTTCAGTGCACGGTCAGCTGGTCCCTAGAAGAAAAGGTCTTGGTATAAGGATCTGGGCAGAGGAAAGATGCTCAGATCATAGAAGCTGGGAAGCAGAGAGGAAAGAGAGGAACCTGGAGGCGATGGGCTCTTCCAGGTCACTCTGCAGTGAGCCATCTCCTCACATCCTGTGTGCTGCCCCAAGATTCAGTCATCTTATGAAAGCCCTGTCTGTGCGCTAGGCTTTGGAGGCCTTGCTTGACCCAGACTATGACACCTTGAAGCTAGTGTCTTGTCTTTATTCCCCCATGTTGAATTTCTGAACATCAGCAGTCTCAGGCCCATAGTAGACTCTTGCCTATAGGAAACAGATTAAGCTTTTCTCTCATTTTTTTCCTAGTTCATGCAACTGATGTTTTCATTAATTGTCTCAGAAGAAATCTAGATAAGTCTCTACTTCATTAACTTGTCAGAAGCCTATGGAACTACAGAACTGTATAGTTTTTGCATAATTTAGCCAAACAGTTCTCCATGCCTGGATTGGTGTCCTGGGGGCCAGGCAGGCCCCTGACTTCTATACGTACATGAAAGTCTTTCTCACATGGAGTCCAGTTTGGCAGCATTCCCAGCAATATAAGAATGTGTGAATTGAGAATTAATTCCCAGTCCTATTACTGAACAGGTTTTAAAATCCAATTATAAATTATAATGCAATATAACACATTCCCAATTCTTACAGCACCTCAAAGACTTGAAGAGATAATTTACCTGGGGCTTATTTATATTTATTGCTTCTTGTTTTCATAATGTCAAACACATCCAATTTGTTATTTAAGGATCCTATTTTTCACAAACGCTTGCTCTGATGTGCCCTGTATTATCAGTTTATGGAAATGAGGATCTTATTTTCCACGAGAGACAGAGGCTCTCCGGCAAAGGTACGGCCCAAGGAAGTTTGTAAGAGGCTTTCTTTTTTGGTTTTTAGAATATCTTCACATAAAACTTAGCTCTTAGTCAAGCAGGTGTTGTGTGCCTGTTATCCCAGCCCCCTGGGAGGCTGAGGCAGCAGGATAACAAGTTTGAGTCTGGCCTGGGCAATTTAATGACTTAGCAAGATCCTGTCTTAAAAACTATAAAAATGAGTTGGCATTGGGGCTCAGTATGAAGACCCTTAGTTCAAACAACCCAACCAACCATCTAGCCAAAATATCCCTTCTCCTGAGTGTAAACAAACAACTATAACAACTGGAATATTTGGACTTTTTTGACTAAAGAGTTAAATACGTGTCATTATACCATTTAGTAGCTACAATCTTAATGTAGTTAGCATATGTATTTGTACAGTGTTTTAAAGCTGAATACTCTGCTGTTTCACAGACTGATTTCAGTCTTTCAGCTACCTCAGGGGATAAATTATACTACCATTCACATTTTATAGAGGTGAGGCTAAGTACAATACATTCAGAGGGCATGAGAGAAACGTGTGGGCTTCAGAGCCACCTGAGCAGTCTGAGCATAGATTTCTGGTCTCGGTCTCTATTTCCCGGTGGATGTCTCATGAATGTCACCCTGATAGCTGCACATTTTACGTTTAATATAAAGAATTGCACTAAGTATGCATCTTAGCATTCCTCTCTGTTTTTCCACTCAGCATACATCAGGCACATTTATTTCTCCACATCATTAAAATCATTAAACAATAACACTTTTATTTTAAATTATGACAGGCCAGTTGGTTATATTTTCAGAAAACAAAATATTGATGACTCATTTCATGTCTTGCTCTAAGATAAATTCCAGATGGATTCAAGATTTTTTAGGTTGAAAAAAATTAAGAAAACATGCGTGAATCAGCCCACCTGGGCTTGAATTACACACCAAGTGTTCATTACCCTCATGACCTGGGCAAATTCCTCAGCCATTCTCAGCCCCTGTAGATAGGAGAGAGGTATTTTCTGAACCAGTGGGCTCTTAAAATATTACATGAAAGGTACAGCACTGTGGTTGGTACATGGTAAGCTCTCAGCAAATATGACCATTGATTGCGTATAGGACTAGGAAAAAAATTGTCCAACATTTCAAAGGATTAGCAGTAAACTGACTCTAAATAACTCCACCAATTTAAGTATTCAGACCCCTCAGCCTCCATCCTATCTTTCTTAGAGAGATTTATTCTAATCGAATTCTAATCGGTATCTAATGAGCGATTGCTATTATTCTTATTTGTGGCTTGGGGGTGAGTTTAAGCCAGCTTTAGATTAAGTTCTGAAATGAGAATATTGTCTTTTTTTCCTTTTGGCTTACTTTTTTCTTTTTTATAGACTCACAGATGAGAAGTCTGGAGTATGAGTGTGCATATTTAGAAGAGGCAAAAATTGGATTTCCATAGCTGGTTTGCAGTCTCTAAGGAAAAAAAGCTTGCATAATTGCTAAGCAGAAATGGTGGGCGAATCCTATTTCAGAGTCCAAGTTCACCCACACAAACGAAGCCAGAATTGTTTGAGATTCAGTATGAGGATATTGACACTTAGGTTTTTTTAAAGTTGCTAGATATCTGGATTTCATGCACATAGCATGCAAAGCTTGCTGCATGTCTGGTTTGGTTAAGTTTAAATGATAAGGACAGACCGTAGACTTTAGACTGTGGAGGAGACTAGTGGGGCACTTGGCACTTCCAAGAAATTCTCTAATGACTATTCCAAGAACTTGAAGCCCAGTATTCCAGGACTAAAGAGTACCTTTGCCATGACTAATGGTGGCAAGCATCCTTCCATATCCTTATGGTCTGTCTGTCTTTTCATTTTAAATGTTTTCTTGTCCATTTTTTCAGGTGGATAGCTTATTTTCCTGTTATCTACTTGTATGAGTTCTTCAAGTATTCAGGACACAAGTCCTTTAAAGCTATATACTGTGCTGTGAATAACTCTGCAGCTCACCATTCTGCCTTCTTAATGTTGTCTCTAGTTTTAAAGAATTGATTTTATTGTTATACTTTTGATATACATAATGATCACATTCATCATAGGGAGTTTGGTCCTGTGTGCAATGTATCTTGATTCTTGTTTTCTTCCATGCCCCTTCCTTCCCTTCAACTCTTCTTTCTCTCCTTATTTGCAAAAGCTTTGTTTCAATTTTTTCTTTTTACTCTCTTTTTTTCCCTTCCTTTCCTTTCAGCTCTCCCCTCTCTCGTTCCCTTTCCCATTTGAATATTTTCTTCCTGCTTCTCACTATCTATCATTCATTTCGGTCCTTATTTATGCTTTCAATTTCTCACACAAGAGAAACAATATGATATTTAAACATGAGTTCTGAATGTTTCACTTAAAAGTATGGTCTCAAGATGCATCCATTTACCTAAAAAATCTCTGGTTTACCCTGCTTTATGGTAGAGTGGTACTCCGTTGTATATACAAGCCACATTTTCTTTATCCAAAAAGAGAATCATCACCAAATAGGATGTGTATGTCAATGCCAGGCTTCGGAGCTTCCCTGCCTGCAGAACCCTGATTCGAGTAAACCTTTACTCTACATTGTAGAGTCTTGAGTATTCAGTTATAATATCAGAAAATGGAGGCACCAAGCAGTTGAAGAAATAGAAAATCATCATTAAGGACAAAGTAATATGAGGGTAATTTAAGATTTGATGACTATTAGTACAATAAGATGTATAAAATGCAGCTAAATTTATTATGATCGATTTTCTTAACGCTATTGTCCAAACATTTGATATACATATGGAAAACATACATGCATGTGGAATATATAAACATTTTCATATGGGCATATGCGTGCATGTACTGGCATGTATGATAGTTTGATTCATTTATTGTTCATTCTATGCTTATTTGGCTGAGGATACTCTCGTCTTTGGCCATCTGTAGCCCACCCTGCAGCTCTCGCTATTTCTGAGTATTTTCTTCTCTCCAGCATGTGGAACTTCAGTCCCCTCTTGTGCTCTGTTGGCCCAGTCCTGAAATCAGACTTTTCTCCTCAGAGCCCTGGTTCCGTGTAGTTTTCTTGGACTGTCTATCCCCAAGTGCTCACCATAGTTACTTTTGCATAGAGGATTTTATATGACAGTGTACTTTTTGTGATTTTTAAAAAGTGTAATGAACAATATCTTTTTTTTCTTACAAAAAGCCCAAAGACATTAGAAAAAACCCAACAACTACTTTCACTTATTCTATTTCTCATGTAGATTTTTCCAAACCTCTCTCTTTAGTGTCTCTCTCCTTCTTTTAGGCCCCCTTCCCCATGGATGGTATTTTCAAGGAGAGGGGAAGCAGTCTCTGGGGCTCGCTCTAAAGGTTTAACGCTGTGCAGGGCAGTTGTGCATTGTCACACTGGGAATGTAGTCATGCTGGGCCCACGGGGTGAATGAAAGGGAGGTTTCCTCTTATCAGAACTGAACAAGACTGGAGAGCCTTCTTGAGAGGGCTCTGAGGTGGCTGTTGGCAGGAGGCGGAAGGAAGGGGCAGCTTCTAAATGACTAAGGACTTTGGCTCAGTCCCCCTTATGTCCATTGGAACCCAGGTATCAGCCTACTGTGGATCCTTTTGGTGAGCATGTGGGGCAGATGCTGAGGGTGCTGGGTGGGAAAGCTGAGGCCAAAGGCGGATAATTTAACCTGCAGAATGTCAGCTGTGTCTCACTGTGGTTGTCTGAGGGTCATGGATTTGTGCAGAAACCATTGATCAATTTTTCTATTTTAAACTGACAAAGAAACTAAAGTCCTGAGAGGGGAAGTGATTTGGTCCAGATCTAATCAGGCTCAAATGTGGTTTGCCTGATTCATACACGTTACTCACTCTCATGCCTGTCCTGTTGTGTAAGCGTGTGTGTGTGTGTGTGTGTGTGTGTGTGTGAGACACAGCAGATATTAAAACTTATATGGGGCAATTTCACACAAACAGCAGTAATCAAACCACTACAGTGAAGTTTCGTTCAGTATCACCCAGCTTCAGTAATTACCAACTTATGGTGAATGTAATCTTCATGCAGTTTGCCGCTTCTTTATTATTTTGAAGCCGATCTTAGGACATGAAGTTTCTGCAATCCTAAATATTGCAATATTACCATGAAAGACAAAAGTGCTTCATGACTCCTTCCAAAACTAGCATCAGTTCTTTAGTATCAGGATCTTAAAATCACTTGATATCTGTCATGGTTTATGTCAGTGGCCCTCAGGCCTTATGCGCTTACATTATGCATCTGTGATTGGTTCATTGTATAGTGCTTGGATTGATGGTGTCAGTGCTACACCCACATAGGAGTGGAGCCAGGATGTAATGTAATGGCAGGAAGAAGGCGTGTCTCTCTCTTGCCAATTTCGGGTTTGCTGTTTGCAGCTACCAGGAACTGCAGCCCTGCCATGCCACCCTACCTTGGAGCCAACTGAGTATGGACTGAAACCTCCAAAAACCATAAGATATAAACTTTTCCTTTCCCGACTTTGGTCATCAGGTATTTTGTCTCAGTGACGAGTAAAGTAACTAAGACAGTATCTTAGGGACAGCAGAGGTCAGCTCTGGGCACAGAGCAGTGACAGTGTGCACTGCACAGGAAAGTGGTAGCACCTCCGAAGGGGAGGGTGCGTCGCGTGGGCTGCCAAATGATGCTTACTTGCCACAGCCAAGACTATGTTTTGTGTGAAGAGCAATAAGCAGAGAGTAAGAGGCAGTGTGTGCTGGAGGGGATGCCGAGGCACGCAGTGCTGCCTTCAGAGAATGCTGTTTGCAGATGCTGTCACCTATATTTTCCTCTTTGAGCCTCTGCTGAATCATCTGGGCAGGAGAGGCCCTTCCAGCTTCTTCCCTGTCCAGTGGACATATACCTGTTTCCCACAGAAGCGCAACCCATGGCTCCCCATTGCTGCTGGGTCCAGGGTGCCTTAGCACCCCTCATGGGTTCTCCCTCACGGTCTGCTCTTTGTAAATGGCCCTGTATTTTGTCAAGTTTCACATCCCCAACCTGCTTGAGTGTGTCAGCTGAGTTGTGTGAGGATTCTGATTGGCATGGTACCATATGCCACGCATGGTGTATGTACAGTGGAGTTTCTTCCCCCTGAAATAGGTATTTCTTTGCATAAGGCCCTGCCTCATCTCTCTTCAAAATGCAGAAAGGGACTGTCAAGCAGCAGCCACATGGATGCTTAGCATGTTGGTCAAAAGTCAGTAGGAGAATGGAGGGAGCTGTGGGCTGGTCACTGCTGGGCTGTTCAGCTGAGCTCCTCGTGACTCAAAAGGAAAAGCTCGCTTCAGCAAGTCACAGTTCTTTTAGCTGCCTCACTCCTTCCTCTTAGTGATGTTTACTTTGTAAAATCTTTCTCACACTTTCCTTTTCTTTGCAACTGCAACCTCCTGTCAGAATCATCTTGTAGTACAGTGACAATTCAGAGATTCTGACTTCATTGGAAGAAAACTGAATACAAAATTATCCTCTGACATGAGACTTCTGAAACTTAGCTGTAGAGCTAAATAAGAAACTGAAAATATCATGGGAAGATGAACAAATGACTTTAGCCAAAGAAAGTTATACCCTGTAGAACCATGGCTTGGTCAATGACCGACTACCTAAAAATGACAGCATGTGACATGTAGCCTACGTATGTAGCAGGGGACACCAACTGGGTAAGTACACTGTGTGAAGTTTCTGTAGTGATGAAATCACTTAACAAAGCATTTCTTAGAACTTTTCGTTGTAGTTAAGCAAAGCGTGACTGTGTCGGTACACTAGAAAGTCACAGGCAAGCCACCTAATAGCAATACGCAGAGACGACTGATTGCATCCTTCCTTCCATCTGTGCCCCCACTCATCCATTCATTATAGGTCTGTCCACTCATCTTATCTCCAAGGTCATTGGCTTGTAAGCCAGAAGGTGAGGCTGCCTGTTGCTGCAGTCTGTTCAGATGACATCAGGTGTGTTCATGGTGGCCTGGCCATCAGGTCTGCCTTCCAGGACACAGAGCAAGGCAGAGGAGAGTGGGGAGCTGTTTGCAGGGAGTAAATGCTGTGCCTTTCCTGTTTTCCTATTCATTTTGACCCTGTGAAATAGTGTTTATTGGTCAGGACCTGATGCAAATACCAGCTCATCCAGGACTCCCATCTCCTCCATGCAAGCTCTGCTGTCATTTGTCTGTGTCTGAATGTGCTTGGCTTTCTCAGGATCTTTGCTTCTCATTTCCCACCTCACTGCTTGCATAGTTGGTTTGGGTTGCTGTAACAGTACCATAGACAAGTGACTTCACATTTACTTTTCAGTTTGGGGTGGGGGTTTGAGAGCCCAAGGTCTGTGTGCTAGCAAACATTGTTCTAGCAAGGGCGTTTGTCTCTTATCTTCACATAGCTGAGAGAAATAATCTCTCTCCTGTTCGTGTACGGGGCACTCATTTCATTCATGAGAGCTCCATCCTTGTAGCCACATCTCCCACAGAGCCCCACCTACATGTGGATTTGAGGGAACAAAACACTTGGCCTAGAACACCTCTGTGTAATTTATATGCGTGTATCTCAGGGTGGGTCTCCCAAGGACAGACCTTGAAAGAAGAATTAGTTTGTGGAGGTGATTGATTAGTGTTCCCAGGAGAACTCGCGGAGAAATAGGAAGGGGTGAGTTCAACTGGGTGTGACTCAATACTGCGGGGAGGTGTGGGCTCGGGGTATGTCTGGCCTCAGGTTTGACCCACCTAGGGGTAAGGATAGAGGAGATGGATTCACACACAAATCAGTGGTGGAAAATGTTCAGTTTTCTGGAAGTTCAGGCGCAGAAGCCAGCAAAACAGCATAGGAGCTGGCTATTGAGCATAGAATCTTCTTGGGATCATAGAGGATAAAAGTAGGAAAGGAATCGAAAAGGATGGTATGAATTCCTAGCAGTCGTCTTATTATACACGTATTGTTTCCTTCCTAGATACTGGCTTTTCTGAGGTGAAGCCTTCTCTGGGATGAAGAGTCTTCTTTCTAACCCCATATATATTTCTAAACACCAACATTTTACACCGAAGCTGGCTTTGTGAGTATGTGACCTATGAGTTTGTACACTGTGACAATTAAGCATATTATGAACTTGATTCAGTTAAGAAATGCCTTGCATGTAATTCAAGCTCACTTCTGGCTGTTTCTCAGTAGCTCATAGAGGTGTGACCTTGGGGGCTGTTTTTGGTTCCTATCTCTTTCTTCTTTGGTGCCCCTTCCCACCTGTTCTATTTCTTGGCTGCTGTGAGGTGGGCAACTTTGGTTCACTGTGCTAACTGGCCATGGACTAAACACTCTGAAGTCATTTCCTCCTTCAAGTTAGGTGTGGCAGGCAGGCACTTTCATCCCAGGTTTGGGAAAGCTAAGTGCACACGCACCCCAAGGGTCCCGTGCTGATTTAATAGTGTGTGTCAGCATTCTTAATTTCTTACTAATTATTGAACAGGAGCTCAGTGTTTTCATTTTGTGCTGGACCCCATAAATTATGTAGCCTGTTTTGTCTAGCACAGTGTCTGGCAATGTGTATAGACGTTTGTAATATTCTAATTAAATGAATCAGTATATTGTAAAGGAATGAATCCCTGGCATTTACTAGGTGGCTAATAAAAGCAGGCTAGCTGGCTGTCGAGGAGAAATATTTTCTTTCTGTTTTAAAACTTAGTAAAGAATCTGGTGTTGAGTCTTATCATTTGACCTACTGCTCACCTCCTCTACCTCAGTCTTCACCCCTCTCTAGGGCCCTCAGGAGGAGTGGGCAGGGCTTGTTTATTTTGAGCTGCTATTTATTTTTCTCTTCCTGCGACACTGAATATTCTGTTATGAGACAGCACTATTTTTATTTTCCCCCAGTAGAATAATTAAATTAGGCTCCATTGCTTTCTTCAACAGAGTGACCTTGGGCAAAATGAGACACACAGGCTGCTGCTACAGGCTAGCCAGGATGGGGCTGCAGAGAGGTCAAGCCCATCAATCGGAATACATTTACCTCAGATCTGCTTGGAAAGGAGGAAAGAGAAGGCTCGGTTCAGATCAGTTAAGTGCTCTTTTTGGTGAATAGGGAAACCACTATCATGCCTTAGAATTCTAGAGCTGTTACAGAACTGTAGGAATGAAACAGAAATCCGTAGCTCATGGGCCATCTGATTCTGTAAGGTTTTATTGAAATACAATCGTGATCATTGGTTTGTATATTGTCTTATGACTGGTTTGGGGATGGAACAATGAAGTTGAGCAGTTATAATAAAGAACACATGTCCTGCAAAGCTAAAAGCATTTACAACAAGGCCTTTTATAGATTGTTGTCCACTGCAAGTACCCCTCATAGTTATTATCAGTCTTTCAGGATGCCCTATGCAAAGGAGATTCTGGTCAAATACACTTGGAAAATGTGGAAGTTTACCCCTTGATGCTTCACAAACTACACTACTCTATTGTTGGCGTCCCAAGTCCTCTGCATGCCTTACTGTCATTAGCACAGTGGCCCTTTCTGTTTTCTGTTTCTGGTCCAGGAAGTTCAAGTGGTGCCTAGATGGGGACCTGAAATAACTGAGCATCAAACCTCAGCTATGATGGATGGCACTTGGAAGAAATTTCAATTTTCTTGCCTCTTAGCTGGGAAAACTCTGAGGCACCTCCCCTAGTTTCCCCCAGTGTTCACTGAGGGGATTGAGCTCTTGGTGCTCACAATAGTGGACCTATCATTCATGGACCATGGGTTGATTGGGTAGAAATCACTTCCTGAGGAATTTTCTTCTAATTTTTTGACTGTTCTTCTAGGTGGGCCTGAGTTAAGCCACTGACTGAAGGACATGAAAAGTCTTTCTATATTGTGGCCCTTATGAATCTTTATGATGTGGCCTTAATCTAATATACCAGCTTACAGCTTCACATCTCCCCCACATCTTAGCCTTATGCTGCATTTAGGTCAGATAAAACTCTTTTTTTTTCAATCTCCTGAAACGGCCATGCTGTTATATGATGGTGTTCTTTTTTATTCTTGTTGCCTTGACAACAAGAATACTCAACTTTCAGGTCATAGATAAAATGTCATATCGTCTGGAAAGTCAAAAAAAATTTTAAAAACCCAGTAAAACCATGTTGATTTCATGTTATGTTTTCCACATCACGCCATTTATTGAACTATATACTTTCCAGTTTGCATCTACAAACCCTCTAAAAGAATTAAGTGCTAGGTCTATCTGTCTCCCTCACTCTTTCCAAAAACCTAGAAATGCTTTATAACTAGGGGTTGGTTGTGCAGACAGAATGTTGAAAGCTTCTGGCAGCTTTTGTATTGGAGGAGAGGTGTTACAGGGTTCCGGGACCAGCTCTGTGGATGATATCCTTTAGCCTGCTTCTCTGTCAGGCCTTGTCCATGTGCTGTCCAGCCCTGTTTGGCAGCTATCTTCCACCTCTGGTGTTCAATCAAGTGCCCTTGTGCCTCAAGCCATCATACCTGACCAAGTTCCTCTTAGTAATTTTCCATCCACCTTCTCATCTTTACAGATTTATATTATCTATAAATCACCACTTTCCCTTGTTTCGTTCAGAATTGAGCTGTGGGAACCTTCTGTTGCAGTAATCTTGAATAAGTCTTCTTTGTGTCTTTAACTTGCAGTTGGGCTCAATTCTATACTGAAATTGCTTTTTTTTTTTTTAAAAAAAAATTGCAGTTACTTAAGCAAAATCTGCCTTCCAATTAAAAAAAGTATCAGGTGTAATTTCTGTTTAACAGAGGAAGTACTACTTGATGCTCAATAGGTGTGAGAGGGGTGGAATTCTTGAGCATCCATGGATGCTCATTCTTCACGGGTGGAAAGTAGCCGGTGGCAAGTTTAACTCTCCTGCATGCTCACTTCACACCTGTTGCTGTACAGCAGGTTCCTTGGGCTCCGTAGACAAGAGACACATGCATTGAGGTAAACAGTTGTCCATGTGCTGGAAATGGCAAACTCACTAGCCATGGTGAGTTAGTGGTGGGGGTTGGGAAAAGCAGATAATTATTTCTTGTTTCATTCACTGTCTTTCACCCTCTGTTCACCAGAGCTCCCAGTACATAGATGGGCAGCTGTCCCCCGGCCTTCCCATACCTATGCCTATCTTACCAGGAGTAAAGAAAGAGATGATTCTATTTTCTCTGTCTTCTGATCTCTAATTGTGGACTGTCTCCCAAGAGCTTTCAAGGAACACCTGGAATTATACCTGGAAGATGTTTCAAGTGTTTCTCAGTCTTCCCAGCTGTACATCAAGAGTGCTTTTTGAATATTTATTGTCTATGAATACTGTTTTTGGTGCTAAGTGTCAGGGGAAGGGTTTCTCATTTGGATTCCCCCTGAAAGCAGACCCTGGACAAGAAGTTCAAAGGAAGTGAAAATGAAAACTGGGAAACTGAATCCAGGAAAGGAGAAAAGGCACTCCAGGAGTACTGAGGAGTAGGCTGCCCCACAGACAAGTGGGGCTCAGTCTTATCAGCGACCTGTGGAGAAGCCTTGATGGACTTGCCTTATAATTAGCATGTATGGGTGGCTTCGGATTTACCTGAGGATGCTCATTCTTCACGGGTGGAAAGTAGCCCGTAGAAAGTTTAACTTTTCCACGTGCTCACTTCATACCTGCTGCTGTACAGCAGGTTCCTTGGGCTCCCCAGATCAGAAACACATGCATTTGAGGTAAGGAGTTGTCTGTGTGCTGGAAATGGTCACCACAGTAACCTCAGGTGCGCAGCAGGCCAGGGCTGGGCATCCATGTCCCTTGTATGGAGTGACATTCAAAATTTCTGAAACCTTGTATGGCGGGGCACAGACCAGTCAGCATGGATGGTGACTGAACATGTGGTGTGGACCTGCCCATTATGAACCCTGTTCAGGATATGGAGATGGATAAAAATCTCAGTTCTCAGGCTAGGACTCCCTAAGGAAACTAACATGACCTCTATACTATGCCAGTGCTTTCGAGTTATGCCCAGATTAGCTTATTACAGCGATCAGAGGAAACATCATCATGAAACTGGTTTTGTGTGTGGCCTCAGGACACAGATAAATTCTTCCCTCTTGTGGTCTCATCAGCTATCTCTAGCTTGATTTCAGAAAGGGCTCCAAAAGTTAAGAAACCCAGTTTACTCCTGGTGGTGATGCCACAGATTAGAAGTGATTCTCATTCTTCTCTTCTCCTTTCCTGATTTCAGAGAAGGAGTGAGTGCTGGGAGATCTGACTAGGATATCTCCTGAATGAGCAGCCTCACGACTATGCAATTAATGTCTTCACGATTTCACGCATGCTTTTCAGGGGAATCAAAACACTTTCCTTGAAGAACAAAGTGTGAGATAAATCAAAGCTTTTTAGGAACCTTATGGTTTTTCTCACCTTTAACTTCATTATTGATTTTCTTTAAGCCCTTTGGAGGTCCCCTGCTTACCCACAGATTTCTTTCCTTCAAAGAGAAAGATTTAGAGAAAGTAGCAAACTACACATTTACAGACATTGGAGATGCACAGCCTCACCAGTGAGCAAACCCTGCTGCTCCCGAGGCTGCTCCTTTCCTGGGTGATAGAGTGCCAGACATTCCAAGGGTTACCCTATCCTGACTGTGGACTGTGAGCCCATCTCAAGTCAATGTGCATGCTTGAAGTTAGGGATTTAACTCAGCAACATAAGTGCCTGCCTTGCAAGCGCGTGTCGTGAGTTCGATCCCCAGTACAGATAAAAAAACAAACAACAAAAACAAAGTGCATGCTTAAGGGAAAAGGACAAGATACCAAGTTGAGAATCAGATGAGGCTGATGAAACTAATTTGAATAGAAATCATTCAATTTTGCAATGGCTTTATCTTCTAAATAAAAAGGTATTTTGAAAAAAAAAAAATGGCCAAGTGGGTTTGGGATTCAAACATCAGTAAGAAGCAAGAGGTTTCTCAGGTGCTCATGTGACATTTCTCAGATGTGCACTGCTGACAGGTGGCTCTGGTTCTGGGAACCTCTATCCTAGTGGATTTCTTACTTGGTGTGGGCTTTATTGAGCCTTAAACAATGAGGCCCTTTT